GACAACACCGGTATCAAGTCTAAGGAGAGACCAAGTTACAGAAGTGGAGAAAATGGAGACAGATCCTCCGACCTACACCTCACGGGTACCTCAGCCGGAGACAAATTTCTCGACTGTGAAGGGCACGGAGGGCCAAACTCCAACCGTGGAAGGGTGTGTACCTTCGAAGGAAGAACATCTGTTGTCAGAGGAGGATGGGAAATACCCTGTCCCCTCTACAACAAGGTTATGATGAATTATAGACTGTGTTGAGTTAAAACTCAAGGAAGAGGGGCACAATAGATCTTTAAGGTCGCAGTGATTACCCCCCCCCCCTCTCATTCATTCTACATTCTACATCGTGTTTTCATGTGATAGCAAGAATGAACGATTCGAAGGAAATAATAGAATTAAATTATATAAAATGAATATTTATTCTGTAAAATAGTTTACTACGGGAATTTGTAAAAGAGTAGTAATGTAATCGAAAAAGTTGATGCAACGGATTGATTATATTTAATAACAAAAATTATGATTAACAGACGAAACTTTCATGTCCCAACTTTTTGGAAATGAATAGCTGTTTCAGATTAAATATTTAATCGATAAATTTGAGAAGTTCAGACACTGTTGTGGTAAACTTTGAAAGAAAGCATAGTTTGAAGTTTCGTTGCAACAAAAGGTCCGAAGTTGTTTCAGCACAATCTGTGCTTTAGTGTCGTTAGTCAGTCTCCTGGGAATATTCTTATAATATAAATAGAAACAAATATTTAGATATTTAACAAAGTGTCCATAACATGAATTTCTGTTCGAAAAATAATAAATATCATCGATATTCCGATTTGAATGAGATTTGGTGTGCCTCTGGTTTACTAAGCGCATTTTAACATTTAAATTTCACGAAAAACATGAAAAAGTATGAGAAGGGTGAAAAATACGGCTCAAGTTTCGTTTACTTGAAATCAGTTATGTAACGTTTTTAGTTCGTTACATGTCTTTTTTATATATAATGTATGATGTCTGGCCTATCATCATCGGATTCCCTCTCGTTCAGGCCGGATAGTTTATTTGACGCGTAATTTTTACGTTCTCTAGTCGGCAACCCTGCTATCGTTCCACTGTTCTGTGGAGGCGCTGTCAACATCGCTTCTGTGCAACTCTCTCCGTGCTTAACTTCACTTGGCTTTGACCGTCCGACTGTCACCGTCAAAAAATCCTTGCTTCGAGAAACTGCAATTATAAAAATCTTGCTGTATAATTTGAATCAGCTGCTATTTCAAAGCAACAGGTAAAGATGATATATTATCCTTTTAGATTCGATATTATTACTGCATATTTTTAGGGTAGAGTTTTGGATGTCCCAACTTAACTTGTATTTGTATTTTGCTGGCACGTTGGCGTCCCTTTTCTTTTGTCCTCCAGAATGTTACATGGAAGAAAGGACAGTTTCTTTGTTTATTATTGAGCCCTCGGAAGTAATTCGAGGTAGGTTCATTTTGTTTATTAGACCTTGTTTGGTTTTAAACAAGTGTTTCATATTTTTAGGGTCCAAGGTACGGACTATTTACAAGGTACGGGCATTATCCAAGGTCCTAGTAGTATCCAGGGTCTTGTGCAGAACAGGTCCCCACGAAATCGTGGTTTTTTTAATTTTTAATGTGGATCCCATAGTTAATGGAATGGTTTAAAAGAAAAAAATTGTTGGATGAACCACTTTTTCTACGAAAAAAAAATAATTGAAAATTCCAAATTTTCACTACATTTCAATGCGAAAACTCCCTATTATAACCTTCATAAAGACAGTAAAATACAAGGTTATGCACAGTGTTGCCATACTCACCCTGTGTAAAATCGACGAAAACGTTCTACTTTATATTCGTTTTTTTTACATTTAGTACGCACTTTAAGAACACGAAAAATTAAAAATATAATAAACGAGGCAAAACAAAAACACTATAAAAATAAATTGACAATAAAATCATTACACAGTATTTAGCACAATTGTTTAAAAATATATTTTTCCCGGATTTGTTCAGTAAGATTCCGAAATGGATGTGATCTGCGTACTTCCAAACACTCCCCACCAACCTAACCTAACCAATGCATTAACACCCCCAAATAACCAGGCTAACCAATGCATTAACACCCTCCAAATAACCAGACTAACCAATGCATTACCACCCTCCAAATAACCAGAATATCTAACCTAACCTAACCTAACCAATGCATTAACACCCCCAAATAACCAGGCTAACCAATGCATTAACACCCTCCAAATCACCAGGCTAACCAATGCATTAACACCCTCCAAATAATCAGGCTAACCAATGCATTACCACCCTCCAAATAACCAGCCTATCTAACCTAACCTAACAAATGCAATAACACCCCCAAATAACCAGGCTAACCAATGCATTACCACCCTCCAAATAACCAGGCTAACCAATGCATTAACACCCCCAAATAACCAGGCTAACCAATGCATTAACACCCTCCAAATAACCAGGCTAACCAATGCATTACCACCCTCCAAATCACCAGGCTAACCATTGCATTAACACCCTCCAAATAACCAGGCTAACCAATGCATTACCACCTTCCAAAATAACCAGGCTAACCTAATTGAGCCTAATGACAAAACTTCATTGATTACGCGTCGAAAAACAGTATATATTAAAAAACTTATATTTTCGTAGAACCTGAAAAATCCGCAAATTTTATTTCAGAAATTGCTTTAAAATAATCCACACTAACGAATAAGCTACTAGACAGTTCAATTTTTGTTGCACTAAAGTGATAACTTACCGTTTTAAGTCCCTCCACAACAACTTTATTTCAGAAGAAAATCATATAAAGTAATTTTATTGACAACGTCGCAAATTCTATGCGAAGGCCATAGATGACATACCGATGATCGATTAACTGTCAATCGAAAAAGTCATAAAATTGCTAGCTTGAGCTGATGTAAATAAATATATTTTCTTAATTTTTATGCTTACAAAGAAGATTCGTTACATTTTTGTGCTTAAATTAGATCATTCCACGTCTATATAAGGTAATAAAGTACTAATATGTGATGTTTTTACTGAATCCGTGTAGAAAATTTAACATATTTACTGTCCGTCGCCTGTACCTAAAATACGTTTTTTGCCGCTTTTTAAAGATAAAACACATTCATCCAACAATTTTTATGCTTAAAAATATTCAGTTTAAGATAATCTTGCAAAAAAATCCCAAAAAAGTGTTAAATGCGTGGGGACCTATTGTGCACCAGAGCCTAGTATCCAAGGTACGGGTAGTGTTCCCCTGTACCGTTATCTTATGGAAGGACTGTGTCCAAGGTTATGGTCCAAGTTACGGACATTATCCAAGTTTTGTCTTGGTGACATCTATATCAAGTTTAGTTTTTTTTTGAGTGAATTTTGGCAGTGTCTGTATGGAATGTACAGATGCATTGAGTTTCTTAGTGGCGTGCATAGCGAGATGATGATTTCTCTGTTTATTTGGAGAGATATAGAGAAAACTAATCAATAACAGTAAACAAAAAAACATAGATATTGGGCGCCAGGCATGTACAGAGAAAGAAAACACAGTTGTTTATTACTTAAAACTAGTGACTATATTCATTTATGATGTATTCTGATGGTAAATAGCATTGTACAATTTTAATAATTATTATAGTGGTTAAATACTATTACAAGGCGTAATGTAATGAAACCTAAGATCTAAATTCTAAATCATATTGTAACTACTAAATCGACATAAATGTTCTTAATAATCTAACCACTAAATATAGTCTGTACGATATTATTTAAAATGTACGTTATTAAGTTAAAACTGAAAATCGACTGAAAATCTGAACCTAAATCTACACTTAGCTGTTCGTGAGGCAATCCTGTTTCGAAGAGTAGCAGCGTGAGGTGGTCTCGCATCTCTGCACTCGGCCATCCAATACAACAAAATGGGCCAGAATGAGGACACGATGAATTGATACAGCCGTAACTACTAACTGGCTTATAGATGGGAACGAAGCAGCATAGGGCTCAAGCTACATCCACGCTGGGGCACTTTATATGTAAGATAAATCACTCCTACTGGGGACACTCGTCCACGGGACATCCGTCCATAAGATAATGGTACAAGGGAACACTACTCGTACCTTGGAACACTACTAGGACCTTGGATAATGCCTGTACCTTGGAAATAGTCCGTACCTTGGACCCTCGAATTACTTCCGAGGGCTCACTAAATAATAAAGAACATGTCCTTTCATCTATGTGACATTCTGGAGGACAAAAGAAAAGGGACGCCAACGTGCCAGCAAAATACAGATACAAGTTAGGTTGGGACATCCAAAACTCTACCCTGTAACTTCGAAATAGCAGCTGATTCAAATTATACAGCAAGATTTTTATAATTGCAGTTTCTCGAAGCAAGGATTTTTTGATGGTGACAGTCGGACCGTCAAAGCCAAGTGAAGTTAAGCACGGAGAGAGTTGCACAGAAGCGATGTTGACAGCGCCTCCACAGAACAGTGGAACGATAGCAGGGTTGCCGACTAGAGAACGTAAAAATTACGCGTCAAATAAACTATCCGGCCTGAACGAGAGGGAATCCGGTGATGATAGGCCAGACATCATATATTATATATAAAAAAGACACGTAACGAACTAAAAACGTTACAGTTATTTAAAAAATATTTGTTTATTTAGTATTTGGAAGCCTTTTCGAATAGTATGTCATAAAAGATTTTCTGCGGAAATCCATCCTTCTCGAGTTTTTCAACTTTAGAATAGCTGAAATCAGAGCTACTTTCGTTTAGTTGAAATCAGTTACCTACGTAAGATATATTTGTTTATTTAGTATTTGGAAGCCTTTTTAAATAGTATACTCAAGGTCTCTTACTTTAACCATACTAGGCAATTATTCCTCAAGATGTATTTTCTTCTAAATTTTTAATTTATTTTTCACATTTACTTGAACTTTAAATAAATGTTGAAAATAATGTCAATAATGCTTACCTAAAATCTGGAATAGAACAATGCAAAAAATCTCAAACTGGCATTTCATTATAGTTTAGTTGTCGCCTCATGTCACATCCTTTTCAATTCTATTCTGCAACAAATTAGAAAATTACCATAAATATATGACATAGCATTTCTTCTTAGTACTAAGTTTATTTTAACTAATGTTCTAATATATTTTAGTAATATAATAATCACAAATATCCTTTACATAGTCACACCAAAAAATATATTCTACCATTAAACCTATAATAACCCGGTTCATATACGATCACTCAAAGTAAGCGACCTTAGACGATATGAGTGAATGGACGTGATGGTGAACATCTGGAAATTGTTCCATTGCAAGAGTGTCAAATTTATTGAGACCCACACTGCTTATTCACGGCAGATAAAGGCTTGATGAGATCAGACATAGGCGTAGCTAGGTTTTGATTTAGAGTGGGGTAAACCAATAACCAACTGCGATCCAATCACAGCGATTTTAAAATCGCTATCGCAACCTGCGATTGGCACTCATTGGAGACTGCGACTACGACTTCTTCCGAGTTTCAATTTAGGCAATCAATATTACTATAGTTACGATTTGCAATTTTGCTGCAATTTGCGATTTTGCTGCGATTGTGATTTTGTAAACTAAGACTATGATAACCTTCTATAATCTGCGATTATTATTTTTTATTTCTTCTTATCACACCTCTCCTACCGAAGGTTGGCGATCCAAATGGCAATTGTGGCTCTGGAAACTGCAGCCCGGAAGATTTCCGCAGACGAGCGTTCAAACCATCTCCTTAAATCTTTTAGCCATGAGTTCTGGCCTCTTCCTACCTCATCTTTTCCCTTGCACTTTGCCCTATATTATGAGGCGCAGTATTTCGTACCTATCACCTCTCATCACATGACCCAGGTATTGCATTTTTCTTTCCTTGATGGTGTTCAGTATCTCTTTTTGTTTCTGCATGCGCTGGAGTACTTCATCGTTGGTAACCCTTTGTACCCATGAGATTCGCAGCATCCGTCTGTACACATACATTTCGAAGGCTTCTATTCTCTTTTCGGTCTGCAAATCCAGTGTCCATTGGCGTAAATACAGGGGTGCCCGGTGGGATCGCACTGACTATGGATGTTAGCTCCTAAATACTTCATTGAGGTCACTTGTTCGATTGTTTGTCCCTTTACACACAGGTGTGCATTTATTGGAGTTTTAGAAAAGACCAATAGTTTGGTCTTGGAGACATTGAGATAAAATAAAAGACTAAATCACCACAATACATCAAAACACTTAGAGTTTTACACTGGACGCGCGTTTCGCTAACCATGTTAGCATAATCAGCAGATGGTTATAAACTAAAATACAATCTACAATTGGAGCGTTTATATACTCGCTCAGTGGGCACAGAGTGGGCGTGGCAAGATCTAGTCAACCGAGTCAGAACCCACCGAGCGTAACAGTTAGATTTCCGCAACTAGAGTAGTAGGAACAGAGAACTTGAAGGAATTGGACCGTTGCCTCTGTTCATACAAACTTTACATTTATTAATTCTGATACTTTCATATGCATCTAATTGCCTGTAATTTGAGATTTGTTTAAGTAATTTTAAGTTATTAAGATCTATACAATGTTCTTTATCAACAATATGTTCGGTAACGCAAGATTTATCAGGTCTACCATATCTTATCTGAGCTAAGTGTTCTTTAAATCTAGTTAATTTTGATCTTCTAATTTGCCCAACATATTTCTGATTACAATCTTTACAAGAAATTTCATAAATACCCGACCTTTCCAGTAGAGGTGTTTTATCCTTTGGATTACCTAATAATTGTTGTAATTTATTATTAGCACTATACACAAGTTTATAATTGACATTCTTAAAAATTCCTTTTAGACCACGGGATAACTGTCTATCAAACGGTATTGAAAAATATTTTGACGTATCTTTCTCCACTTGAAAAGTCGAATTTTCAGAAATCATTATCTTATACCTACGTTTTCTAATTATTTTATCAACTAGTGAAGGAGAATATCTATTACACTCAGCTACATTCCTAATGTAATCTCTTTCTATTTCATATCTTTCGTTGAAAAGTGGAAAACTAAGTAATCTATGAACTAAGAAATTTAAACTAGCCATTTTATGTTCAATACTATGATATGATTCATTAGGAATATATCTGCGTGTAGTGGTATTTTTCCTATAGATATCAAATTCCAGGCAATTATTAGTATTTCTAATAACTAATACATCTAGAAATGGTAATCTGTCGTTGTTCTCAATTTCATGTGTAAATTTAATGGAAGGAAAACGATTATTTAACTTAGAAATAAAATTATCTATGGTGTCTGAATGTGTGTCAAAACCAGCAAAAATATCATCCACATACCTAAACCATACTCTTGGAAAATACCCAAACTGATTCTTAGCCTCCACTTCAAACCTGCTCATGAATAAATTAGCCAAAAATGGAGACAATGGATTACCCATTGTTGTACCTTCCCGCTGTTCAAAAAAGTTGTTATTAAATTGAAAGCAATTTTGTTTCATACATAATGATGTAAGCTCAATATATTCAATCACAGTTTTGTTGTCGAGACCATTTGCGTTCAGTAATTCCTTCAAGTAGCCTAAAGTATGTGGAATTGGAACACTTGGGAACAACGAAGATACATCAAAGGAGACCAAAATTTCACCTTCATGCAATGTTATATTTTTAATTTTGTTAATGAATTCAATATTATCTTTCACTGAGAAAGAAGGTTCATGATTAAGTAAATTTTCGAACTCCCTTGATAACCATTTTGCCAAATTATAAGTCGGAGAACCTACAGCCGAAACAATTGGGCGCATAGACTTGTCCGGTTTATGAATTTTTGGCAACGCATACAATTTTGGTAATGAGGGATTGGATACTTGCAATTTTCTCTTTAAAGCAAATCAATAAGGTTTTTTTAACATCTGTTACCATCTTAGACAAAGGATTCTTTTTCAATTTTATGTAAGGACCATTATCGATTAAGTTGTTAATCTTATCGTAATAGTCTTTTTTATCTAATATAACAACCTTATTTCCCTTATCAGCTTTTAGGTAGAAACAATCTTTGTTACGCAAACTCTTGACAATATTGTGCTCCTTGTTAGATTTTAATGATTTACTTGAAACGATATTTTTTGATAACTGATTTCTAGAAGCCTCTCTTGTAAATACCTTAGAAGCCTCGGATAAGTGCTGAATAGCAGTTTCAACGCCCACGACGATTTCCTCCAAAGCGCTACCAGAGTTGGGCAATGCAAACTTTAAAACTTTGTTTAATATACTGAGCTCTTGTTTTATCAAAAGTCTGCGAAGAAACATTCTCTACTATGTTTATATCTCTCTGGAAAACATATTTGTTTTTAGAGCTTTTTAATTTTTTAAACTTATTATTCAAAATGGACATTTTCTTAACAAATTTTGAATTGATAACCACAAACATATTTCTCTGAAAGAGACACCAACATTCGTACTCTACATTAGTTAGCTTATAAGTAAGTTTTTTGTAAAGTCCATAGGCTTGAATTTCAAGCATACTTCGTTTACTATACAGAAATTTGATTTCTAAATCAAGCCATTTTTGTTTTGCAATTTTCTCTACCTTATTACTAACGTTACTTTTTGGAATATCAACTTTAATAAAACTAGGATAAACTGAATTGGCTCTGCATGATTTAAGAAACCAAATATCTGCTCCTAATAACCTAATCTTAGTACTAAACTTACGATAAAGATTCAGTTCCGTTGACCGTGAAGCCATCGAAGATTACAGTTGAGGGTTGGAACCATTGGTGTTACACAGCAAAATAAAACACTAAATCACCACAATACACCAAAACACTTTTAGTTTTACACTGTTTCCGCCACTAGAGTAGTAGGAACAGAGAACTTGAAGGAATTGGACCGTTGTCTCTGTTCATACTATCTTTACATTTATTAATTCTGATGCTTTCATATGCATCTAATTGCCTGTAATTTGAGACTTGTTTAAGTAATTTTAAGTTATTAAGATCTATACAATGTTCTTTATCAACAATATGTTCGGAAACGCAAGATTTATCAGGTCTACCATATCTTATCTGGGCTAAATGTTCTTTAAATCTAGTTAATATTGATCTTCTATAGTTTGCCCAACATTTTCTACATTATTTCTGATTACAATCTTTACAAGAAATTTCATAAATACCCGACCTTTCCAGTAGAGGTGTTTTATACTTTGGATTACCTAATAATTGTTGTAATTTATTATTAGCACTATATACAAGTTTATAATTGACATTCTTAAAAAATCCTTTTAGACCACGGGATAACTGTCTATCAAACGGTATTGAAAAATATTTTGACGTATCTTTCACCACTTGAAAAGTCGAATTTTCAGAAATCATTAACTTATACCTACGTTTTCTAATTATTTTATCAACTAGTGAAGGAGAATATCCATTACACTCAGCTACATTCCTAATGTAATCTCTTTCTATTTCATATCTTTCGTTGGAAACTGGAAAACTAAGTAATCTATGAACTAAGAAATTCAAACTAGACATTTTATGTTCAATATTATGATATGATTCATTAGGAATATATCTGCGTGTAGTGGTATTTTTCCTATAGATATCAAATTCCAGGCAATTATTAGTATTTCTAATAACTAATACATCTAGAAATGGTAATCTGTCGTTGTTCTCAATTTCATGTGTAAATTTAATGGAAGGAAAACGATTATTTAACTTAGAAATAAAATTATCTATGGTGTCTGAATGTGTGTCAAAAACAGCAAAAATATCATCCACATATCTAAACCATACTCTCGGAAAATACTCAAACTGGTTCTTAGCCTCCACTTCAAACCTGCTCATGAATAAATTAGCCAAAAATGGAGACAATGGATTACCCATTGCTGTACCTTCCCGCTGTTCAAAAAAGTTGTTATTAAACTGAAAACAATTTTGTTTCATACATAATGATGTAAGCTCAATATATTCAATCACAGTTTTGTTGTCATTCTTTGACATTGAGATGCAGTCCAAACATCTTACTATATAGTGGACTACGGAATCTATA